CGGGATAATTTCCAAATTTTGGTTAGCTTTATTTCTTAATGCTCTTTATTTTTAAACTTTAACTTATTAGTTGCCTCGACTGCAGCGTTCAACTAAAAAATGCTAAACACAGACTTGCAGATATGTATAGTTTTGTATTTTATTAATCTGGGTTTGATCATATTCATCGAAAAAATGCTGATGCAAAATTTACAATTGCGGTACTAGGCTTACTGATGTCCTTAATCGACATTTAAAAATTCAGTGAATATCAATACTGACGAATGAAACTGCATGCATTTTAAACATTAGCAGACTTTTTGGTCGCTTCGGTTTATTCCACATTAAATAGTTCACAGTAAATGATTTTGCTTCGGTAGTTCTTCAATGATTCATTGCATCTTTGCACCACGAATTCATTAGTCACATGTACAACAATCATGCCATATGTCACATGTACAACAATCATGTCATATGTGATGGTCACTGTCGCCAATACCGCTTGCGCTTGGCGCACTTCAAGCACGCACTCGACTGTCTGCTTTTCAGTGTCAAACATTCTGATGAAACAACAAACCGCGCACAATGCAAAACAAACGCAAGGTAATGTTCACTTGTTTGGAACTATATGGTCTTCAAGCTCTCTCATAGAAATAATTGTGCCAGTAAAATTTATGCCCAAATCTAGAAATTTTCGACTAAAAACTAAAGAATTGAATTTGTCAATAATTTTCTTGTTTACTTTTTCGTTGAGTCGAGTGAATTGTGCTTTTTTTTGACGGCTTTAGTTGATCAGAGACCGGATTTTTTAAAAATATTTTAATCAAACCAACGAAGAACCGAATACAACATTCGCCATCAAGTTACAGATGTTTCCAATAATGAGATTTTGATAGATGTAAGTGTGCGAAATCGGTGAAAAGGATACTACCTTAAAATTAAAATCCCAAATTAATTCTAAAATATTTTCAAATTACAGAAAAAATCCAGTAGTTTGTAATTTGATAACTGGAGACTAATTTTAATCATCAGAAATTAGCCATCACCAGTCTTGTAGAATCAGGGCATCCGAATGTTATACGATTCCGCAGGACTACAGAATTATTTTCGGAGTAATTTTGAATTTCATTTCTTCTATTACCTATCACTGTACTAAAATCGATCAAAATATCATAACACAAAACTTTGATATCTTGATCATTAATTTTGAAGCATTCGAAACGTCGTTTTTACATTAATAAGTTTTTTCGGACTACCAAAATGAATGAAAAGTAAGTAGCCAGTAACTCATGGAAAAAAATTGTTCACAAATTTCATGGTCTCGTCTTCAACCAAAATTGCATTAAAAAACAACATCTACCAAACTATGCAAATAATATAGAGAAATGTGCAATATAATTTTCAGTTATATTTTCACACACAGGGACCTGCGTGTAAGCTATCTGTCCTCTATACAAAAAAACTTGTGATTTTTTTCTTTTAAGAAACTAACTATATGAACAAATCAACTTAAATTTCCTAGCTTGGTATACTAGTTTGGCTCGTAAATTAGCCATAAGAAATATTTTATCCGTTTGAGGGCACGACATTTATCACGAGTGAAGAAATTGCAATAAAGTGAAGATTTCAATCAACGGTGCACTCTCATACCGTTATCGAATTTAATTTGTTAGAAAATTACATGAAATCTTATGAATCAAAACTGACATTTCTGCGAGAAACGAAAATTTTGGTAAGCCTCTTTCAGTATTGCTGATTGCAACGTAAAATAAAATTGCAGAATGTAAACTCAAACAATCGAAAATTTTAACTTAATTACAAATTTCTGCAAATCAAAATAGCATAAAACATCAAAAAATACCCACGAAAGGTTTTTATTTAATTTATCGATTGAATTGTAAACTTAATTTGGCATCTTATTACCGTAGATTATTTTACGGTATTTGACAACCGAGAAAATGATTCAACCATAATTGTGTTTCTATTTCATTGAAGAAATAAATCTGAAGCGATCACTTGCCCGCATGCATTTAACCGCTGTTACTTAAAAATGAATAGAAAATTGAATCATGTTATGCAGTATTCAAAACAATGATTCGGGAATAATCTAAAACATTCCTTAAAGCTAATCTTAAAGAATGTTATCATCGTAAGCATCGATGCTAATGAACCTAGCAGCAAAAAGAACTTGGCCTTTCAATTTTCAAACTACTTTTTAGGAATTTATACACTTCTCTTAAATTCGTTATTCAAAATATAATATTCAAATCAGTTGAGAATATTTATTTAGCGTCAGGTACCAACGGTTTAACTCCCATTAAAACACTGCAAGATAAGGAACCACTTGAGTGGCTTCGGTGTTCACAAGGTTTCGCTGTTTTTGTAATTGCATTCCCCGAAGAGGTTATGACTTAGCAAAACAAAGGATCAAAGAGCTGCATTTGACGAACGCTTTTGCCAAATGAGTTGACAGCGGACAGGTACATGCGCTACTTTCAGTGCTATAAAAAGTACGAAACTAACTGTTGGCGGCCAAATTACACCCTGCTTTCTTCTGCTACAATAAAATATAATTTTTAATATATTAAGAAAAATTGAATTCTTATGCATAATGTATGTTAAATTAGGTGCCCAGTAAACATTTCATTAGTGAGTTACAGCAAGGAAAAAACGATCAAATAGACACTAATTAATCAGGGCAAATATTAATACTCTACTTGGTAGTCAGCGAGTCGAACTTAAAGTTTCCATCAGGTATATTCGAGTTCTTATTTAGGTTTTGGCAACGAAGCCAATTCTTATATAGAAATGAGAACTGATGTTGGACCAACGTGTCGAGACTAAGTGAGAGTCACAGGGATTATTTTAGTCGACTGTGACACCTGTAGGTTGGCTCGTACTGACCTTGTGCCGAGCCTGACCTGAATATTATCAGTAAACGTACAGAACGTTTAACAGTCTGGAAGAACACCGTGAAATGAACTAGGGCTGGTCATTTGCATAACAAATGGAGCATAAACAAGATGTAGCCAATGTGTTACTAATCGACACGATACTTCCAACGGAGGCAAGATAATTGCAAAATTTCGAGGTGGCCAAAGCTTCATAATACAGGGTGTTTCAGAATTAAGTAACCCTTTAAATTTGTTAATAAATAAAAAACTAAGAACGTTATGAAGTTGAAACTTGTTTTATTTAAAAGAAGAACATTTTCATGGTAATATTGTATCATAGTTACGTCATTATCCTGTATAGCTTAGCTTGCTAAATTTGTGTTTAATTATCAAGCCTTAAATTTTCATCATGATTCGCTACAGCAAAGAAGAAAGAACAAAAATTATCGCTACAGTCAATAACGATGTCAATAACAGAAGTTCAACGAGATTACAGGATCCATTTCAAAACAAGGATCCTTCAAAAAACACATTTAAATATCTTTATCGAAAATTTGCGGATATAAAAAATTTGCACTCTCGTCAGAAACACTAGTGAAGGTTATGAAAGCAACGAAGAGAAGAGCCCTATTTTGTCAAAACAATTGTGGTGGGCATTTAAAAGATATTATTTTTAAAAACTAGGATACAATATTACCATAAAAATGTTCTTCTTTTAAATAAAACAAGTTTCAACTTCATAACGTTCTTAGTTTTTTATTTATTAACAAATTAAAAGGGTTACTTAATTCTGAAACACCCTGTATAAGACTGTTCACTCTCTCGTCCCGCATTATAAGAAGTTTTGTACATAATTAGAGTGCTCTATTTTTTATTTTGATTACAGTTTTGGCAATTGTTACAGTTACGTAAGAAAAATTGCAATCCAAGTTGAAGGACTTTCAAGTATTCATTTTCAACAACAAAATTGAAATAAATAATGAGCAATTAATTATGTATCGTCTTACACATAGATAAATTATATTATTATCTTCGCCTTTTTTGAGAGTATAACAAACATTATAATTACAACTAAGAATGCACACATATCACCTGTTATTCGGGGAGCCAAATAAAGACGTATTGCAACAATACATTGTTGACTCACCAGTGTACACTTGAAAACAAAATAGTATTGATAATGTTTATAAAACACGTTGATATTCGTACCAGCTACTCTGTAGTACCCGAAATGATGACTCATCAGGTAGGGAGAGGCAGTTCAAATTCACCGTCACCGTAAAGTAGAACATTACAATGTAAAATTTTGTTAATACTACTATATACAGTTTACGGTTATCATATTCATGTTAAATAAACACATTATGTCTAATGAATTACATAAATACACGGTAAATGAGCAGCAGCACCCGATGAACAAGCGACATATTAGAATGCATCACTAAAAACACACGGTGAGTAAGCAACACTTGAAATGCAAGCGACGTATTTACAAGCCAGTCTGCACATTTATCTTCATCAAGACTACATCAAAATTGAATGAAGGTAATATTTTCATGTATTCTAGGCAAATTGATTATAATTTGCGAAGGACGGCCAATTAAATCCACTTGATTTCAGGAATTAAGTTCAACAGAATAATCAACAGAAAAAATTCTTCTCGTTTCATCAGAATTATGCCTCGAACAAGATCAGCACGAACTACGAACTTTTTATTATGACGGAATAAAGTTAACGTGATTACAAATATTACTTGTGGTTTAATCCAACTATCATGATCATCATAAAGCGAGAAGATTGCAGTTTCTTCTAAACTTATCCAAATTAAAACTGTAATGAATGATCTAATTTCTGCTAATCTTGTCGAATTAGTAGCAGAGCGGCAGAAAAACCTCTTCCCAAATGGGGTACGAAAATGTTATTTTACTAAAGCTGATTTTCATAATGAGGCATTAACAATATATACAATCTCCATCATCTGGTGGAACTCATACAATACGGATTATAGATTCAATGTACAGTAGAACACGGTTCATGCAGCGCAGGCAATATTAAATATTAAATTGTCGCAGTTAACACAGCTCAGGTGAGTATAGCACAGTAGGTTAAGCCACGCCACGCAATCACCTTTAGTTGCAGCGAAGGCCTCCGGTGTTCGGTTGTAAGGGTATCCGGACTGCCCGCTGATGCGACCACGCAAACCATCGCCACCACCTCCAACAACGCTCTCGTTCGAACCGAGAGCCCGGGGTGGCGGCGCAAGTTCCTTTTGCAGAGCTCGCTTCTCTATGTTCCCATTCTGTTCTAATTTTTGCTGCTCCAGCTTCCCATCCTGGCTGCTTAAAGCATTGTCTTTTTCAGACTTATCACCGAGTCTTGTCAAAGAAACTGAACGCTGATTGCTCGATGCTTTTGTTTGGCTGTTGATTTGTGCAGTGAACTGGTTTGGCTGACCGAAATCGCGACTCGTAGGTGTAAACTTAGGTACAGTAGTGACAGGTGAAACAGTTTGCTTCGACGAGTTCGCTGTGCTTTTCGATGGCACAGTGGTGTCATTCGAAACATTGGGCGATGACGTAGGCTCCTGCTGTTTCAGCTCGACGACATTTTTATCATCAATCAGCAAATTTTCTTGACTTGGAACCCTGACGTAACCACCCGATTCTGTACGAATCCATTTCGACTTGGATGCGGTCGATGAATTGTACTCCACGGCAGGAGAAGGTTCCTTGAAATTGGCAGGTTGAAGAGGATTGTTCAATTCGGTAAATGTGAAACCTTTAGGCGGTGAAATTCTCGGTTTAGGTGCAGAAGCTGAACTGGCAAGGGGACCAACACCGAGGATGTTTTCGATTTCGCCCAGTAATGAAGTTTCGTTGAGACCAAGTTGTTGAAGAGCTGAAGAAAAGTTTGCAACTCAATAAAGTAAATGAATTAGAGATGAAGTCTTTTAAAATACACCATTAAATCCCGAATTAAGTTATACGATGAGTTTGTGACGTGATTCACTAAGGGATACATGAAACAAGAAAAAGTTTGGAATAAATGAAAAATGTACTTGAAATTTGATGCCACCAGAGCTTCGTTCAATCGACGAAATCCCGACTCAGATAATCAAGCAAACATTGCCAGTGAAAAGCAATTATTCAAGTTCCGTCCACGTAAAAAATATCAAGTGATGCAGGCGAAACAAGTAAATACACGATTCGGGTAAACAGGTAAATACAAACTTCACGCTTTGTTAAGATTATCTGTTGTTAGTTTACATGCAAAATATCCAGCCCCTCAGTCGGAATAAGAGAGAAATGCTGCAAGACGTTTACTGAATTGCTCAAACATTCTGAATTAAATGTTCATGTCTATTAAACCAATGATCAGTCAAAATCGCGGGAATTCAATCTGGAAAAAGTACAGTAAAACTGCCAATTTTTCTCATTATATATGCATTCATTTCTACATTTTGATGACCTAATTCGATCAGAACAAATTTTCACAAATACTTAAGTTACAAATATTCATTAATTTATCGCTTTGTTTTATTCATTAATTTCTCGCTTACAGAATCGCGTTCACGTTAAAGGAGTACGGTATACCTACTGCCGAAAGAAATGGTCGGCAAATTATATTTAATAAGTCATTTAATCAAAACTATTCTATTTGGATATCCCAGAATATCATCTTTGATCCTAATAATAAAGAATTCGGAGAAATATACCGGGAAATCCGTTTTCGATTTGAATTTGATTGGGGCTCCATTTGAACATCGGATCGGCAAAGATTACCAAATAAATTCTTAGCAAACATGAACAGGGGAAATAGAAGGAGCATTCAGAGAATTTGGCAAGACCATCGAACGCTATCGCAGTCTTATCACTGTCACAAATAAAACTGACAGGTTGGTTCGCAAGTGCACCATGTTAGAAAGGGATGCATTCACTACAGTGTCAAAAAATTTTTTTGGTTATTAAAACGAAATTGTTGAGGTGCAAAACACTTTGTACAAAATAATGGCTGCCTTAATAAAAAATGTGGCTACTGTCTTTATTCTCAGCAGGAAGAAGCCTCTAAAATTTCGTTGTATGGAAAATAGGAGGGTTATGAAAAGACCCTGTCGCCGTAGGTAACAGTTCTTGTATGACCAAGTGGAAAAGTTTTCCGTATTTAATTGTGTGCTTCAGTAGTTAGTAACTTTTAAACAACCTCACTCCAAGTAGCACTAATGCTGACTGATCAGCGCTATGAAACTCCATAAAAAGTCTATTATTAAAAAAAATTCAGCTGCGGCAGCAAGGAACCGTTCCGAGTCATGATCAGCTTTCGTTTGCCTTAGAGAAGCAAACCAGCAGGACTCACCCTCTTCTCCAATAAAGTCGCCGAGATCTTTTGCAACTCTCTCGGCTAGAGTACCTCCTCCTTCCAACCTCAGGTCAGGAGGAACCCCCTCGACCTCCTTTGTTTTCTTTTTTTCTGAGGTCTCTTCCTCTCCTTCGGAATCGGTATCTCCGTAATGCAAATCCCTTTCTTTTTTACGATCCTTAACTCGCTGGAGAAATTCTTCCACTACCAATTCTCTTTGTGTGGGAAGAGGGGCTTCTACATCTAATTCTTTTTTCGCTTTGCTCACTTTAACAACCTTCAGAGTTCTCCTCTTGTTTCTTTCTTGCAAAGCTGACCAGTACTCGGCAAGGAGTTTCCGCCTATGGATTTCTTCAGGCTTAAGAGGTGGGTCGATGAACTTACGTGGTTCTCCAAAAGGGACAGGGTGCAAAAAATAATTATTCAGTCGTTCTTCTGCTTCCAGCATTTCCTTCGTTACTTTTGTGGTAGGCGTTGGATTATCTTTGTCGTGTTTTGCGCGAGGAGGTCCTTCAAAATACCGCTTATACCTTTTCTCAGCGGCAATTTGTTCCTGGTCTGGGGATGGAGTTCTTTCGTTATCCGGAAGTGAAGTGCACCTGGGGCGAGGAGTTCCTTCAAAGTACTTCATGTAACGACGTTCGGCTTCTTCTTGTTTCTCTTTTTCAAGGCCAAAATTCAACTCAGCTTGAGATTTAGGTCGAGGAGGGCCTTTCTTGAAGTAGGACATGTATCGTTTGTGGGCCAACTCTCGCTCAGCGGGAGTTAAATTGAAAATTTCTAGTTCGGGGGTTGGTGGACGAGCCGGTTTAATTAGACCAGAGTGAAAATTAGATTTGTTATCTTCTTTAACTTCGACTTGATCTTTGTCAGGAAAATTGATTCGCTGGTCTCCTTCAGAGACTGGTCGAGGTCGACGAGGACCTTTCCTAAAATATCCTTCATAGCGTTCTTGGGCAGCCAATTGTTCGACATCAGGTTCAACGGATTTTGGTTCAGGAGGTGTGGATGCTCGAGGAGGGCCAATAAAATAATTTTGGTAACGCTTTGTAGCGTTAATTTGTTGTGGAGTAATTTTCGGTAACGTTTCATCTTCATTTGGTTTATGAACAGCTCTGGGAGGGCCTTGAAAATAGCGCTCGTATCTCAGCTCTGCTCTTACCTGCTCCGGATCACGCTCATCAATAGGAGTTCTTGGACGTGGAGGTGGACGTGGTGAATACTCACGAGAGAGAGAGTCACGGAAATGGTCATCTAAATTTGCTGAAGAAATAATTTCCATCGTATCCCATTCATCAAGAAGTTGAGAAACACGTTTTAATTTCTTTACAAAAACACTTTCTTCTGCTTTTGATTCTTGATTTGAGCAGTTCGACGGGACACCTGCTATGCTATCGGCTGCGTCGGTTGCACCACGAGTTTCTATCCCGTCCTTTCCTACTGAGGGAACAGAACCGTCGTTAATTAACTTATTTGAATCATTCGTAGTTCCTACAACCAACTGAGAAATATCACACGATTGAGCAACTTCGTTGATTGATGTGATACAAGCTTCACTACCACAGGGAGTCGGAGTCAGACTCGGCAACTCGCCTCGACAGGTTGCAGGAGGAAGACACTGACTGCCTTCACTCACGCCGCCCTCTGACATCTTGGGCACAGCGCCAAGAACTGCACCAGCTACAGGTTGCAGTTCTCCGTCCCCGTCTCCATTGCGGAGCTCGACGTCACACACTTGCTGAGTTTCCGCGCCAACTTCAACCGATTTTCCCGCCATGCGGTATTGGTTTTCTAATAAATCAATTTGACAAGGTTGAATGATTGAAGCGGATTCATTCTTTTCTTTGGAAGAAACATTTTTTTCCGTTACAGAAGTTCTATTGAGACAGTCGGAGCTCCATAGATTTGCATACCCATCGTTTCGGACCATCCTACCAGAGCCTAACCGAGATGGAAAACGCGACAATAACTTTCTGGTTGGGACAGGTGGAGGGCGTTTTGTAAGAGATTCGTTCATCGCAAGCATTGTTGGAATTAGGGAAATCGATCGCGGTGGAGGGGGTCGCACGGGCGCTTCCTCTCGATCTAATTTCATCGTATCATCTTGGACGATTCGTGCATTTCCTACATTAAATTTACTAAAATCTGAGTAAATACCAGAAGTACTTTCGACAAACATTGAATGACGCTTTGAAGAGTCCCGTTTGCCGCACAAATTTACAGTGCCAGGATCACTCAAATATCCATCATCCAAACAAAGAGACGAGCCAATGCGGCGTCGAGGAATCGGAGGCTTCTGCTTTTCAAAATTGTAACCTTCACTTGACTCAAATGTGCCATAGACTGATGCTCGCAATTTAAATGTACTATTAGGACCACTGGATTTGTCTATGGAACAAGTGAGTGGCAACGAAACATTAGTATCCTTGTCTTGCGTGTGAGCGGCAGGCGGATTAATAATTGAAAATTGATTTAGTTGGTTTTCATGCACAGTTGAAGAGAAAGAAGGATGTTGCTTGTTCAAATTACTTCCATAATGGGTAGCAGTTTTAAGATTATTATTTACTACAGACTCGTTCACTCCACTTGTTAAGTGTTCGGGTGTTACAATTACGTTACGAATTACACTGTTAGTTTCATCGTGAGTATCTGACGACTGAGAGGCTTTGGAGAACATATCAGTTTTAGTAGGTAAGGACTCTGGTACAGATGCAAACCTACCGGAGGATGACATGTATCTGGCCGGCTCCTGGTGCGTCGACGTTGGTGCAGGTAGTTTCTTGGCCATTGCGTTGAACTTAATGTTGGAATCCCAGCGGGGTAGAGGCTCAGGAGCTTTACGTAGAATAGGCGCAGTTGTATTTTCCGATAAGATGGATTTCAGTTCCGTAACCACTTGCATAGGCATCTTTTGCTGAAACTGCCGAGGAGGTACCGGAACGGGATTTTCACTTGTCTGGATCCAGCCATCTTTGGATTCCAACTCGAGTTTATTTGGCGCTAAAACTTTACCTGAGCTATATATTATAGGAGGACCGTAAAAGCCTTTACTAGATGTTATTGATGATTTCGGAAAATCATGTGCACCATCTTTTTCGACGAAAACCCATCCGTCCTTCTCTTTTTCAGGTTCACAACGTAGATGCTCGTTTTTATTGTCGGTTTGAAAGCATATTGGTTTAAGAATCTCTGAAAAATCTGTATCAGAAATCCGTTGACAGTGATTTACTTGTATTCTTGAAATAATATCGGGTGTACTCGAATCGTGTACGTGCAACGTCGATGGAGAAACGTCACGATTTTCAATTGGTGCTTTAGGGTTTTCATTCATAATATTCTCGGCCATTTGAATTTCCAGATCCATGTCTGATGCTATAAGGGTCATTTCTTGCGTGATAGATGAAAGAACGTTAATGTCTATGTCGTCATATTTATTTTTATTCACAACTTTACCTTCAGAGTCGTAAACAAATTCTTCTTGAGATGTTATTTCTGATCCGACATAATTCTGTTGCAGTTTCGCTGCTTGAGGTGTCGCCTTAGTTACAATTTCTAGTGGTTTACAATTAACATCTTTCGGATCTTCATTTTGTGATGTAAACTGCTTCATGGCATCACAAACTTCAGCTGCTTCGTCGTATAATTCATGTGAAGGTTCAGAAACATTTTTATTTTTGACCTCCAGTTTAGCCGTATCGGAAGGAACTGAAATTGTTTCACATTTCTCTTCGGATTTTTGGGCCTGGCTAATACTTGTTAGAGAAACGCTACCTGGTTTTGAAGAAGTTATCGAAAGCAAAGGTATTGGCTTGATTTCTTCTTCAGAGATGGACGATGCATCTTCCTCAACAATCCTCGACATGGGCTCTTCAAAGATGTTATCATTATCATAAAATGATGATACGTTCTCACATATATTAGGAAAAGGTTGCGGTGATGGTTCTTTGAGACTGTTGGCTTCAATGGCACTGGAATACGCATTTATGGAAGTTTCATCAAGGATCAAAGCTTTGTTTGAGGCTTGGACATCAATCTTCACACTATCATTAACAGTACAAGTGTCCTGGTCGATATATTTATTTTTTGTCGATGTATCGGTAATTTTCGTAGAAATGGTCCTATTGCTGATTTCTTTTTTATCTTCGCAAGAAGATGACACGTGTGTTTCAGCCTTTCCATGAGGTTCAGCCTCATGCATATGCGGAACATCTTTTCCGATAAACGAATATTCATTTCTATCCTCGGTTCGAGACAAACTTGATTCTTCTCTATTTAAAAACTGAACAGCTTCCGATGAATTTTCCTTAGCCGAATAATCAGCGGCAAAATCAAAGCTCACACCCGCGTTTTGATTGGGTGTAGGTGAGTCCTCTGCAGGTATAGACGGATTTTCCGATGTAATGTTAGTAGTAGAATTAGTGGCCCAACTTTCCCTTGATTGATCTGAGCCAATACTTACTCGAAAATCTTCGTTAGCGATATTTTCAATAGTACTCGGAATAACTTTTTGTTTCTTTTTTCGTCTTGGAGGTTTAACTCTCTCGGGTAGTTTAGGCAACAGGTTCTCAACAGAAAAAGTGAGTTCTGAGTTTCTATCGTTCGAATCATGAAAACCATAAGATGCATCCTCATTCAAACTTCCCTCATCTTGACCAGCGAGTTGTTGATCAAACTCGATAGTTTCTTCAACAGTGATAATCTGCTGTTTCGTCACCTTGATATCTACAAACGTTGGTGTCGTATCAATAATGCTGTGCTCAGGAGGTTTATCGTCGAAATGCTTCACAACGGCCGATTCATCAGCCGTGAATCGAACTTCTTTTTTGATACTTTTTGATTCATCTAGAGAAGTTTTGCTGCCTTTGAGGTTAGATCGACTCCCACTCGCTTCAGACCTTGTAGAATGTATGTCTTCAGTGGATATTATGAATGCCTCTTTATCGTCAGCCTCATTTTCAGACGTTTGCAAAGAATCGGATTTGCGCCGCATTTTTTTATCGTAATGTTTACGCAAAACCTTTGGGGATGATTTTTTCAAGAACTCAAAGATACCAAAGCTTTTCTTGTTTGTATCTTCAATTTTAGTGGTGTCAGACGAGAAAACCCGGCATTCAGGTGTGGTAGACCGACTTCGAGGTGTCGCAGGCCTACTAGAAGGAGTTTCTGGCCTGGAATTAGTAGCGGATGTCTGTGAAGACGAAGGTACTAGCTGGTCTTCTACGCATTTGCCATATTTCTTTTTCCTGCGTCTCAAAAGCTCTTTTATTCGTTCTTTAACTTTTTCGAATCTCTTGGACGTAGACAAGCTGCGCGGGCGAACTTTTCTTTCTAGATCTGAAATATTTTCGCAGCTTGTGTTCTCTGGTAACGGAGCCTCAGATATAATGTTCAAACTCTCGGTCGATTCAGTGGGTGCGATTGGGTCGAGATCGTTCTTGATTCCAGTCAAAAGTTGCTCAAAGAACTCGTCATCGTAGTCCATCGGAATTTTAGTGTTGTCTAAAGAATCTAAAAAATCGTTTATGTCACTTTCTTTGTAACTTTGTCTTAAACGTTGAAGTTCCTTGGAAACTTGCTCTTCGTTATATGACTCACGAGAGATAAAAATTGGAGTTTCCTTTGTCCTTGACCACCAACGCTTCTTGACGTCAGTTTTTGGAACAGGAGAAGCAGATGGTGGCAATGGGGGTTTCTCTTCCGAAAACGAATCGGCCTGTTCTTTTTTTTCTTTCCCACGAGCGTTGTGCTTTTTTCGAGGTGGCGGACTTGGCCTTTTCCGGTTTTCTCCAACAATTTCAACGGTGAGCGAGGCGCTCATTTTGTGATTGTTCATTTCAACGTCCTCTGGTTCAACCTCTGGAATCATTGAAGCGGTTGGAGTTTGGGAGGCCGTGGCTTCATTTGACAATTTGAAAGCAGTTTCCTCACTCGCAATCGACACCTTTTCAACCCTCAAATCGCTTGCCTCGTTAGCTTCAATATGGTTAGATGCAGTTTCGCCGCGCTCTTTAATCTTGTCAGATTCCAGCGGCACTACATTTGGTGTCTGATTAGAGCTTTCGAGAGATGTGCTGGTAACTGAAATGTCCTCGTGTTCTATGTTCTGAGAAGCAAAAGAAGAAATAGGAGGTTCGGCGGTATTCAATTGTTCTACATTCTGATTATTGGTGGGTGTAACAGAACCTGCTCTGTTATAACTCTCAATTGATTCATGTTTCATGAGTATACTTTGGGCCGTTTTTTCAATATTTTCTAAATCTTCCAATGCATCTTCGATTGTCGACACAGGCTTTCTCGTTGCAGGAAGGCTCATTGAAGGTGTCGTTAAAAAATTAGACTGAGAACCAGAGTTGGCTACCAGAGGGACTTTCTCGATTACAGTTGGAAGCAGATTCGATTCATGAGACTTTGGCAGCTCTGCATTTTTCGAATGCACTGCCTTTCGGTCAAGCGTTCCGAAACATGGGTCTCTTGAATCGTTCAAAGTCGAAAGCCGGGAATTAATGGAAGATAATTCCGACATGTCTTTTCCCAAAGTGTCATCCGAATCTGCGGCAGGTGACGAAGATTCAGCTGTGTTGGTAGACGCCTGAGAGGTCCTCCAACTACTGTTCACAGTAGAATTGGGGGAAGATCGAGGGGATTTCGAAAACTGTTCGGATTTGTAATCGACAATATCATCACTTCTCATATCCTCAGAGTTCACGTGATCATATTCATGAAGCATATCGGCTTCAGTCGTTTTCTCTCCGTCGTCGGTAGGAGAAATCATGGTGGTGTCGCTATCACTGTGTTCTCCAGTTTTCGTGGAGTCAGTGGTTCCTTCTGCAGGAGCCACAGCTGTGGCATAATACTGGCCCATGCCGCTCTTTGTCTTAATGATGACGTTGTGTTTCAGAGAACCATATGAACCGTCACTTTCTGTTTCTTCGTGAATGGTGGAGCAGCGACCGATTGACCTGAAATCGCGGTAATGTAAATCTTCGTAATGGGAAATAAATCCAAATTTTCTGAAAATTTCTTCTAGCTCTCCTAATACGACATTCTCACTGTCAGAGTCACTGCTCTGACACTGGCATTCACGCTCAAGAAAATCAAATTCACTGTCGTTTTCACCCGAAGAACTTGAACTAATATCTAAACTAGAATTTGATGTCAAGTCACTAGCCACACTTTCGTCTACGTCTGCTTCACTTCTAGCTTCGATGGTGGTGCTGCTTTTGCTGCCACAGCTGTTGCGACAGTCAGGATTGAATACCAATGTTTCAACTGAAGAACTGGAAGACGACGAAGAATATTCATAGGATGATCGGAAAATTTCTTCAAAATTCAGTGCACCTTCAGGAAATTCATCTTTCAGATGGAAAAATTTATTTGTCTCAATTTCTGTTATCGGGAAACGATGTGTTTTAAATTTGAATAAATTCAGAAAATTTTCGTCCCTGTTTGGGACTACATTCAAATTTTCATCCGGACGGCAGTGCTTCAGGCAATGATCTTTCAATTCTTTGAAAGTATCAGCTGGTAATATGTGATCAACAAGGCCTTGGATGTCAGTTTCGGTGAAAGGTTTCGAGCTTGCGTCGCTTTCGTGAAAATTCAAACACTCACTTGAGTAAGAACTTTCACTGCTAGTGCTCCTCAGCGTAGAGGCTGACCCAAATTCGACTGCTATAGACTGTGCTTTGAGTTCATATCCTGCGGCAACGATATTAGACTCTGATGCGGAGGATTCCTCGCTTGGCAACGGCAAATATACAGAAGGATAACCGTGGTAATTGCCAAAAGCTTGATAGGGCGTTTCCTTGGTAAGGCAGGAGTGGCAAGAGCTCGACAAGAAACAACAATGAGTGCTGCGGAATGGAGACCGTGTGATGGAACGGCTGCTTGATGGTCCCAAATCGGGCGGCTCGGGTAAATTAGTCCGGTGAAGGGTCGGGGTGCACGGGGCTGAGGATGAAGCCTTGAAGGGTAAAGAGCCTCTGGTTGAAGACTCTGAAAACTTGTCTGTCGTGGAGGAAGTATCGAGCACATGACATTCAATAAATGTAAATATAACTTGGTTCATGAGCGTAAGATCCAGGGTTCAACCGAAACAGCTTAATGGTGAAAGTTTTATCGATTGAAAGCTTCATAGATAAAAGATAAAAGTATTTATCACAAACCTAATCTGTTCGTAATTGTAAACCAGATGATCTAACAATAGAAACAGTATTAAGATGTTACAATTAAGAAATACATTTTGAAATTTCCATTAAAACCATTAGACACATTTATATATTTCAACGATTTTAAAAGTTATGGATAAAATGAGTGGACTGGTTATTAAACAAATCCCATCCTCGAAATCGTAGATAAAGCTGAGGGAAATCAAGATTCATTATATTACACAACGTGCCAACAACTGAGGCAGATGTACAGTGTACATATCAGTCATATTTAATGGCAGTCGCTTAAGTTATAAAAAACATGGTTAGAAAAATTAGAACTTGACATCGCGGGGTTAGTCGAAACAGAATAAGACTGATGAATCTAAATCGTCGACAAGAAATCGTAATGCAAGTTATAAACTTGCAAGTCATGTTAATATTCACGATCACACCATCCTCAGCATGCAGGAAAACATAAGAAATTTAATTATTTATCGACATCACGGTCTTTTCGACTTCGTAGCAGATTATACGTTGCATGGAACTGTTCAAGAGCAACGCGCAACGGAAGAAATCTGTTCTAAAAACGGTACAGCTTAGTTCATCATACCAAGGGGTGCCTTACATCATGACACACTTTAATCGAGAGGTGTAATTAATGCATTCACATGGGTATGATAAATGTAAATACAATATATGACTACTTGGTGAAATCTTGGTCTTGAAAAAAGTGGGCATAATTAAACACGATGAAAACAAATTTAGCATAGCCAGGAAATTCAGCAGTATAAATTTATCCATCTATTCCAAATAAAAATCAATTTGAAGACAGTATTTGTGCATATCCAATGGATTTGTCGAAATCGCTATTTTTTAAATGAATGAAAAGCGGCAAGTTAATAAGAAAGTAAGACGAACTGCTGTTAGTTGGCGACCTCTACGAACATTACTTGCATTCTGTTAACAAAATACGGTTTTAGGGATCATATAAACTCAATTAGAAGACCATATAGAGAGTTAACATTGTTTCTAGATGCAGATAATTTGGCAATTGCGTGGCTTAATTGGACGAAAATGAAATTTATAACGTAGAAAATTGTCAACGCATCACCAAAAATTTATTCAATTTCGATCTATATAACGAATTCTCCATTAGGATGGTAAAAAAGATATCAAAGTATTTAGTTGGTTTAAATCACACGGGCAGTTTTACCCGAGTTAGCAAACTTAAGAAGAGCATTATGCCATCAGGTGGTGAATAGCCTACTCGAATTAATGTTATTCTCATTCAGAGACTAAATGTTGATTGCAACACACCGCTTAATTCTAAATTAATATTTGCACACCACGCGGCCATACTTTCAAAACTCGCTAAGTGAACCCACGCTCTATTTTATTGTCTATGATTGGTGGATTTTGCTTGAAAGGCCGTCAATGATTGGCTGATAAACTTACGATCTCTTAACTTTTTTTTTAAAGTATAGGCCCTGGGCCTATACTTTCAAAAAATGTTAAGAGATCGCAAGTTCATCAGCCAATCATTGACTGCCTTTTAAGCAAAATCCACCAATCACAGACAAGAAAATAGAGCGTAAGTACTTACGCTAACTTAGCGAGTTTTGAAAGTATGGCCCCTGGCCTCTAGCCCTTAAGCAGTACATGCAGGTTGTTGTGTATTAACTCGAGTGCTATTATTGGAATGCGTCCATAAATTACTGCTTGTGTTACATGCCACAACTCAGATAAGATCTTCCGCCAAGTCCGGCCAAGCCTACAACTATGCAGCGTTCGTGTTAGGGAACGTTGTATTAACACACGCTGTTGGTGAAGTACCAGCGAATCTGTAACCAATTGTAGTCAAGGTTCTATAAGAATTTTTCATGTATCATTTTCGGTTTCACTAGTAAATAATTTGATGGAAATGACATAATAATTTTATGAAAATGACATGTAGAATACAAGATATAAATCATGAAATTGAATGATCTTGAACCATTCATTAAAAAATATTCAATAAAAATATCATAATACATTTTCAGGATTAATTTAGGGATACTAATTGATTTCAATTAATATACTAGAATTCCGTCTGAACCAGACACGTAACTCTAAAATAGTCGTATTATCAGTTTGATCTTGCAGAATAAATTTCACTTAGCCAAAATTTCATCTAATAGAATGCAAACAATATAGTGAAATATGCTTTCTAAAAAAATTCATAGAGAAATCTAATTATTTTTTCAATATGTATCGAGTGGAATTAAGAATTTAGAAAAAACTAACATAAAAGTTAAGACAGCATCGTTTGTCAGCCCACTTTCGTGAATAATTAGCGCAAGAAACAAAAATAAATGCACTAAAAAATGTCATGCAGACCATGCAAGGATGCAACCATGTTGTATAAAATTTTGTTTTCAAATATAACCAAGTCATAAGTGGTTGAATTGGCAGATCTAATAACTACTGAAAAACTCTTCAATATACAAAAATTTAGTTTAGCTTCAAGCAGAAAAATCGATTCGTTGTTAACAGTCACAACTGTAGTCGACATGAATTCCTGTACACCTTTATCCATAATTTTTGTTCAACTTTCTCGTTCCAAATAGCTTATGTGAAAATATATTTACTGCCTTAAATAAACAAAGACTTTTTAAATAAAATAAAATAAATATGCTTGATGAAATTAAATGAACAATCAGAAGAAAATCCCACCTGAATCAAGTAGGTCGGAGGAGCTCGCTGCTCGCTGAGTCACACGCGGAGCTTCTTGTGAAGACGACGAATCTGTGGGAAAAGGGAGCATTTTATATAGCAGTTATTTACAGCCTTTCAACGACATTTAAGCGGGACATTTGTGCATGAATTAAAGTCTGTGGCAGGGCAACTGATAAGCAATTTTTATGATAAACTGATAAATGTGGGCAACTGATAAACAGCCTTTATGATAAACTGATATATTTGGGCAACTGATAAACGGCCTTTATGATAAACTGATTGATATGGGCAACTGATAAACAGCCTTTATGATAAACTGATTGATATGGGCAACTGATAAACAACCTTTATGATAAACTGATATATATGGGCAACTGATAAACAGCCTTTATGATAAACTGATTGATATGGGCAACTGATACACAGCCTTTATGATAAACTGATTGATATGGGCAACTGATACACAGCCTTTATGATGAACTGATTGATATGGGTGTCAAAACAAAATAATTAACGTAAAAATTCGAATTAGAATGCTTCCAGGAATTAATTATAGATAATTATGTCATTAGACCACCATTCCTATTGGCACGCTAAATAATAAAATAGATATATAATCTAACTGGTTGCATGTACGCAACACATAAATTAATTAAAATTATTTTGGCGAAGAATGATTTTTCAAACAACCCGGCATAAAAACCATACATATCATTAAACATTACAGTATGCTGCAAATTTACGTATGAAGCATATACAAACACATAAAACAATATCAACACAGTCATAATTATAGAGATAAAATTCAATTTGATTTTTTTTAACATCGTAGCAACTTTGGGAAAGAGCAGAACACAACTTACACCTTTAAAGCTCCCAATTTGTAAAAATATAATTTAGGCAATTCTAATAACACAACTCATATTTTGGATAAGAACGACCAAACACACATGTTTCAAGTTCAAAATGTCTTTGCTGAATTGTTGAGCAAAGCATGAATATGCGCAGTAATATTAAAACATGTAATTCACCATCAAAAAAAACTAACCTCGATACACAAAAACATTTGCACGAGTGCTTGAAATTATAACTTTTATAGCCTTCATTGATGATAAAAATATCCCCGAGTTATTACAAAAATCTAAAATTGTATCACAAAATTTTTTGTTGAATTCTTGACCTTCGAAAAACCAATTCATATAACCGACGGCAAACCGTTTGTATGATTTATTTGAAAACACGAATATTACGCGGAAGAACAAACACCTAGCCAAGAAATCACGATAAAAAATTAGAAATTAGTTTAAGGTTCAATAAGTTAATTCGATTCACGACACCGATATATAGCAGAGTTAACCATAGAAAGAACTAACAGAAAACGAAGTCTGTATAGTCTACGGTAACACTGATTCTAACTTCAGTTAATGCTCATGTCTAGACCATGAAGAGAAGGCAACTGTTGCCATGAGAGTCAAAAGGCAACAAATTATAGATAGAAATAATACATGCTCTCCAGCTTACAGGAAATACATGAACAATTGCTGCACAATCTCTGAATTTATAAGTGAAATTCTTTTCAC